ATTTTCCGAGCTTGAGGACTTTGAATGGGCACGATCGCAGTCTTCTGGTACCTAAAACAAAGGCAACGAGGTGTATGCTCGTTACCCCTCCGATGCTTAATTCAGAAAGAGAATTTATGCATGAAGCTATAAACTAAAAAAGTAATGAAAACGTACCTGCGCAATGGTCTCATGTCTCGTATTTATAGGGGTAGGTAGTACATTCCTGATAGAATTGGAATTGGGTGGATGTTCTTATCCGATAGAGTCCTGTTAGGTAAAGGAGTTAGACCGATATTGAAATCATGTTTAGGATAGAGTCCTTATATGAGTCAAATATTGAAGTAGTAGAGTAGGGTTAGAGTCTCAAGTACATAGGAATCTTATTAGATCAATAACAACCATCGAGGGTCATTAAGGAAGATCCATTCTCGAGGATTACACAAGCTCGAGGATATAAATCACAAAATGTGAGCTTCGCATAACCGACCATCCTCGCGCACAATATCTCGAGGAAGACAATGCTCAAGCACAACAATGGCAGAATTGAAAGAGGAGATATTTCAAGTCCTCGAGATATAGTGGTCGAGCTTAGCCAAACATTTGGTACATCAATATGTAAATTATTTTATTGAAAAATGTGATTGAAAATGAATTTTAAAAAACTGAGTTTTTAATAGGGGCTAATTGTTATCGAGACTAGTCCATGTAATCCTCGGATGATGATTTGCACACTACAAGAAATATATGCTTTCTCTACAAAAATTTCGGAGAAAAATTGAGATTTGTGGGCGAAGCTCATTTTCCCTACAAAAAAATATTTTGTAGTGCTATGATTTGATTCAAAATTTTTAATAGTGGAAGGACATGTGCTCACAAAAAATTATATTTTTCCTGACAATAAAATTTGAAGGACAAGATACATCTTTAGCTTACAAAAAATTTGACATGTTGCCAATAATTAGCGGGAAAATTTTTCATTTTTATTTGTATTTTTCGTCCCTCCAAAATATAAATTCGAATTGAAAAGATAACTGAAAAGAAAAATAGAAATTAAAGAAATTTATTTCCACATTTTTTGATTTTCTTTTTCTCTTATCTTCCTTTTATTTTCCCTACCTTTTCTTTTACTTTTTCTTTTCTTCCAAAGTTTTCCTTCTTTGCCACGCTTCTTTCTTCTTCTCACTTTGCTCTTCTTCTACTCGGTTGCAACTTCCGCCACCATATTACTGTCCCGCCACCTTCAATCAGCCCTCAGTCATCGGGCCCACTAGCCTAACGACCCAAATCAGCGCTTGAGACATCTAAGAGGTATCATTTATTGATTTTTATTTGTTGGATTGTTATCAGATTTGCGGGGGAATATTGTGTGAAATGTAAATTGGGCTATTTGTTTACCATTAATTCGTATATTCAGTAGCTATCAATTTATTTATTGGGTTATAGGGAAATATCGTAGATATACAGTAAAGTTAAGGTTCAAACTCAATTGAAAATGTTGCGTGCTCAAAATTATTATAATGTTTTGTTTCTTTAACTTCTAATTAAAATTTTGCTTTAACCAATTTATTAGATGTAATCTTTTTCTGATTAAAATGTGCTTTGAATCTTTAGAACTTCCTGCCCCACATCTAATAATGTTCAGTTAGTACAAATTATATCCTTGTGCCGTCCCAGATCTGGTATCTAGCTGTGAAGAGGAAGAAATCTGCTGCTTCTCAAAAGATGTCTATTGGGGTAAATGGAACAAATGGACATAATGGAAATGGAGCAAGGGTATAAAAAAGTTGGGTTGTCAATTTGCTCGTGTCTTTCATATTTTTGTGCTGCTGTATCTGTCTGTACTTTTCCATTGATGGTGATGATGTTAAGTTGCTTGTACTGGGGAGAGTTTTGAGATGATGCCAGTTTCCCCCCTTTTTCATTTCTGTTGGAACATTTATATATATTTGTTGTTTCTTTGATATTACATCCATATTTTATCAGTGACTATCCTTGTATGTATATTTCCATTTTGTCATAAATAGAACAAAAAATGACTAATTCAAACAATCCCTCAAATTCAAGCAATTCCTAAAAGTTGTGATTTTGTTGTTCGAATTTCGTGATGATAATACCATGGAGCTTATATATCAATGGTTGTTCGAGAGATTGAATTGGATGCCGTGCTTTCACGATTTCTGCACAATTTAAGATTGTTTGGTTGATTCTAGATTTAAACTGGGTATTCTTGTTATGAAATTTATGTTGAAGGCAGAGCTATAGTTGGATGTTGTTACTGTTTTGCAGTGTGGAGTAAAACATCTAGATTTTTATTTGTAAACCTTGTTTGGTAGATTTTCATTAAAAGCTATTCAGTGATTGTTTATCATTTGAGCTGTCTTTGATAGGCACTTACCTCTTCTTTGTAGTGTAGGTAAGTCATGGTTAAGCACAACACCCATCTCAAACACACTAAAAATAAATGAATAGTAACATTGCTTGATTGCTCATCATAAGTTTCTGTCTTTCTGTTATCAGCCTGTAGGGGAGAATTATGCCCTTCCAAATATATGTTTCTTCCACGTGCTTTTCAAGGTCATTTATTATCTTCTTTTGTGATGTTATTTCTATATGCAAATTTTACTAGTGGATAACATTAAATTCTTCCATTTGGCAGGCTGCAGCTTTGGCGTTTTACATACTTTCAGCTCTACTTTTTGATATCTTTGTCATTATTTTTGTTTTTACCATGCTTCTAGCTGCTCTTGATTTTTGGGTAGTCAAGAATGTGAGTGGACACATCTTGATAGGATTACGATGGTGAAATGAAATAAACAAAGAGGGTGAGAGAGTGTGGAAATTTGAATGTCTTGATGAGGAGGTGGGTAATCATGTTTCCCACAACCTTAGTTTGCATATTTAATATTGGTGATGCCTTCTATATATTTGAATGTTGTAAGATATTTTCAGTCTCTGCATCATGAATTTAGATGTTGCTTATTTGAC